TTCCTGAGATTAAACTGTTCTCTAAACAGCTGCCTTATTTTCTGTTCTGAATCTGTACTATCAAGTAAAGATAAAATCCTCTTTTCTGCTGAAATATGAGGATGATCAGTTCAGCCATAGCCTGCTACTGCCCACCCAGTGGTTCATACTGCAGATAAAAAGATTTACACTTTAATGATGTTTATGATCAAAGATCTTTAACAAAAACTAGTAGTAAAATCCATGGTTAAATCATGTCACTAGGTTTACACATAGTGCATTCACATATAGGCAGTAGTTCACAAAACTTTTTTGTAGTAGTTAATCAAGTCACTGGCATATTATGATATATATGGCTTTTTAATGGAAAGGAAATTCATCTTACAAATAAGTAGAGGGATCAATTTGATCAAGGGCACATACAAAGTCTCTTTCTGAGCTGGAAATAGAGCCAGGATCTGGGTGTCCATTCTGCTTTTATGTGAGACATTAAAAGCATGTTTTGTCTTGAAGACATATTTTCCTTTTACATACACAAATACTTAAATATCTAAGCCATACAGGGTGCTCTCTTGCGATGATGCTGAGCTCAAAAGAGCTCTGAAGCTCACTATTTTACAGGTGAGATAAGATTCAAGTCACTATTCCAGATAATCACAATAATCTTTGATGGAGTTTGAAGCTATTATGATAATCAAGAACAAAAGTGTATAATCAGCAAATAGCTCTGCTGAAATGAACTAGAAGTCCAGTTCCAATTTTGGAGAAACCAAAAAGACTGATGAAGACTTTCAGTACTGTACATCATTAACTCATTGGACTATAACTCAATCCTACACTTTGATCACATTCCATATTCTGAACTAGAAGAAACTACTTCCCTAAAAGTGCCTGCTATTTTTTGCCTAGAAAATACGCATTTTAATACCTTACATAAACCTGACACAAAGCCTGCAGGTCAATGAACATACCAGTTTCTTTGTGACAAGTGACAAATAGCACTAATACTGAGAGATTAATATAACCTTTACTGGAAAAGCACACTTGTCTTTATTGGCAATTGTTCACTGTCACCTTTTTTCCATTGAAACTTTGAAAGGGTTCATTCTACTATTCCAAGTAACCCCAGGATTCATTTTAGCACACAGTAATGGACGAAGTAAATACCAGAGTTGTAATCGCTTTAAGAAAACCTCGTATTCTGCTTCTAGATATTCTAACCTGGAGTTTACTAGCTGATGCACTTCAGTTCTCTTCAATAATCAACTCTCAAAAACATGCAGCACTTTATGGATCACTGCTTTTACACAGAAATTAAAAAGGAGTGTATACAGACAGTCAAGAGTAAGTTTCAAGATTCACAGCCCACTACTAACTAATCAGAGAAATGGATCTATACTCACTGAAAGTTGCTAAGTAATCTTCAAATGTCGAATCTTCGTGTTATCAGCAGCACCCAGGAGATTCTCCTTGACTGAAAATGAAACCAGAAACTTAGCAAATCGGCAACTGAAGCAGGACAAAATCTAGCTCAAGTACGATCTAATCCTGCAGAAATACAACATCCAATTACAATATGTACTTTGAAATTACTCATCCAAGAGATGGCATTAGTTCCATTGAGCTCCTTGCTGCTAGGCCATCCATAATTATGCTAAAGTTGGCTTTACTGGCCAACTATTTTTTAAATAGAATTATCTATTTCCTGTATCAATAGAAATGTAAGTATTGTGGTTTAAATGCTTAGTAAAACTCCACAATAAGGGATCCTGAGCATTTGAATGATTCAAGTGCCCAACCATCTTTGCAATCCATCCCAAGACATAAAGAAGAATCATGCAGTAGAAAACATGCATATAGTAAAAAGATAGACAAATTGGTTCACAACTACCAGACAGAAACCAGTTAATCTGCATGATTATGACAGGGATTCACCTCTTTTTAGTATACAATATTATAATATTTACATAAGCATATTATGTTTATGCTGGCACCAAGCCTTAACCACTCCATGGTAAAGCTGAGTTTTGGCTGAGATCTGCTCTCCTGAACAACGTGAAGACAAACCACAAAATAAATGGGATAGATGAATATAACACACTGCAAAAGCGTTTTTGTCACTTGATCTTTGGAGCCTCATTGTCCATTACTATCATAATACAGGTTGGCACGATTACCACAGACTGGCATGATCAGATTGGCATGACCATATAAGTTAATACTTTATTTCTATCCACCTCATTTAAAGATCAAACTTCAAAGTTAAAAGCTTGTCTGTTTTCAGTGTTCTGAAGCTTGCACGATGAAGAAAGCCACAAAGCCAAGAATACACACCCTTAGCTTTTATGACTTTCATGCAAGCAGCAAAACTATACCCCAAGTTTTTCAATGCACCATCTAAGCAAAAACTGTAGTTTTGAAAGCCACACAAGGATGAGGTAGACAAAAGAAGGAAAAAGATTGTGGAATATTCCAACATTAAACAAAAAAAATCTATAATTACAATATTAATTATAATTTTAGATGGAAACCCAGCTTCTATAGGAACTCAAAAGAATTCTGATTAAACTGTGTATCATGTGATTCTGGTAAGAAAATTGAAGTAAAATTTTAGTGTTAATAGTCCTAAGTAACTCATGTAAATTGTGACAAATTAAAAAGATGGCTGCTTGTTCTAGCACTGACATTCCAACAGACCTCAGAAAAGAATTTATCCTGTCAGTGCTACACCAATGTAGAGACACCAGGAAGGTCATAAATACTGACCACCTGTGGAGATCCTCACTTAACTGACAGATCTGTGGGGCTGATCCGAATGGGATCCTAAGGATTCATGCCCAGTGAAAAGGAATGTTAAGGAAAGGAAAAATGGGACAGAAATGGAGCAACAAGCTTTGATGTGAAATTCAGGACTCTGCTACTTGCTGCTCCCATGGCAAAAATGTTTGAAGTAAAAAAATTGGTTAGCCTGACTTCTGAGGGAGACAAGAATCACAAGGGGGGAAAGGCAAGTTGTGAGATAACTGACTAGAAAAACACATCTAAGAGATCTTCCTTTTAGTTGAGGACTCGCTCCAGAAGACCCTCCTCCTGTTTTAAGGTTCAGAAAAACTGCTGACATAAGTTTGATGTAGAAATTCATTCTTAACCTGCAGAATGTCACTACTCTGAGATATTTTCTCAAAGGTTAAGAAGATAGACTGGATTCAAATAAGGAAAGTAATCACTAACATTAGTTTTGTTTAAATATATGAACACTACTTCAGATACCTTAGCATTTCTTAAATGAAAGTTCTTAAATTGGCAAGTTCTTGGAGAGAATGCAGAACCCACCTGAAAAGTAGAAAAGCTTTCTTGAAATGCTCAAAATAAAGGTGATTTCCTGTTTGTTAAAATTTTATACATACCTAAAATAATGTGAATTTCAATTTTCTACTGAATACAACAGAAGTGGTTCAAAAGTTGCACTACACTACACTGACTTACTGTCAGAAAGAACCCTTCTGCAAAGATTGTAAAGAGAGTTAATAATTTTATTATGCAACAATAAATTGGATAAACTATAACCAGACACTGGGTATTTCTGCTTATGCCTATATACTAAATAAATAATATAGATTGGCAATGATAACCACAAGGGTCAAGAAACACTCCAGTGCAATAAAAAGAGACAATCTAACTTGAAAAGGAACTATTTTTGCCCATCTTCTGAGCTGGCTGAAGGGTAAGATAGGAATCTGTGATTAGCAGAGCATTAGGCACAGGCTCTGACACTTTTTGAGACACTGAGTTTGGATTTAGCACCATGCTGACGCAACTATGCATCTCCCATTTTAGAGTTAGCAAATTTTTACCCAGTTCCAATTACAGGGGCTAGCATGTATATATTTCCCCAAGTCAAACATCTTGAAATGTCTTGCCTGTACCAGACAATGCTCCAGTTCACAGTAAGATACAGTATTTCAATTTTGTCCTTCACAAAAAAATGTTAGTTCTGGAATTCTAACATTTATATAAAGGCAGGAATCTTTTTTACCAAAGCTATGCCTGCTTCTTTGCAAATTTTATTTTATAACTTTTATGTAAGTCAAGGTGATAAAAAACCACATGAAAATGTGTGAAGAAACTGCATGTAAAAACTACATAATGAGACCTAACTGGTGTTCTTAAACAGGTATCGTGAGGCACTTCCCTCACCACCACTAACAATAAACCACCTGAACACCCTCCACCTGGTAGGCTTCTTTACCTTACAAGAAGAGGTAGGAAGAGGAAAGAACAGGTATCAAGCACAGGAAGAGTGGCAGGCACTGCTTCTTCCTAGCCTTGAAGAAAAAGAGGCACTTCTGAGATGGAAGACCATGGCTTTGAGGAAGGCAAACAACAGCAGGCTTTGAGGGAGGCAAATAGCAGCAGGCTTTGAGGAAGGCAAACAGCAGCAGGCTTTGAGGAAGGCAAACAGCAGCAGCTGGAACACTCATCAAAGGAGCTCCCTTGACAGATCAGAGATAACCTCTGCAAACTACTGCTGAGAGAGTATTCTTGAACTGGAACAGCTGTAGCTGGAACACATGTGTTAACAACTACAACACACTAACTTGCACTAAATGCCATCTTTCAAAAGACCAAAATGTCTGGAAAAAATTAATTTTAACTCTAATGCATGGTCAACTTCTAGCACCCTGTTTTCGCTGCAAGTATGGCTCCTTTCTCTACCTTACTGATGATTTTTTACTACCACTCGAATACAATGAATAAGATGAACAGATTAGGAATTTTTTATTAAGATGAGCAATAAAGATGCTGTCATAATTTGAGGGCAATAAGGGAGGGATTCAGCAAGCAGTGCGATCATGACTGGAAATTTGATTAAACTAAGGTCATCTTCTCCTTGAAAAGGTCAGTGCATCAGTTGAGCTTTAGTCAGCCACATCATCCTGTAAACTGCTGTCAAGATAAGCCAGTACATAAATTCTCTTGGCAAAGGTATGTTACTTCAGAACAGTCCTACTGGCAGAAACATGGCATTTAACGGTACTTGGAAAATTGACAGAAATGAAAACTATGAAAAGTTCATGGAGGCAATGGGTGAGTCTTACTTTTCCAATGCCTTCTACAAGAATAATACCACTATCGCTGAATACAGACTCAAGCTTTCTATGAACTACCTTCTGGCTAGCCTGTCCTTTTGCTGCGTGGTGCTCTGCCCTTGCATAGTGTACTGCGTTTGTTTTCAGAAGATTACAAGGGGGAGGGGAGAATCAAGAAATGTTCTGATTCTAATTACATTATTTTAATCTTAAGCTACTTAACTTATTACAGTGGATTTATTTCAGCAGAGGAAAGATTCTCTAAGTCTACATTTGACTAAAAGGCTCAGACAATGTGAATGATATACCTTCAGCAGAATTCTACAGCAGAAATATTAATTTGATAACATGAAACTACTTTCAAAATTACACAGGAAAGAAATCATTCTTCAGTTTTATAGAAGCACATGACTCAAGTAATTTTAACATCCTGATACTTCAAGTTTTTACAAACTGTGTATTATATGGATATACATATAACCATTCCAGCTGGACAGCCTGTACTGGTGAATATGGCCTCAATAAAAAGTGAAGAAGAATTAGAATTTGGGTCAGAATGCTGGAATAAACTCACTTAACCACCTAAAAGTCACTTAAAGAGACAAATATGATGCTCCAGGTTTTGTGGTGGGTTTTGTTTCTTTTTTTTTTCTGATTTGTGTTAATTGATTTTCCTAGGTATTAACATGATGAAAAGAAAGTTAGGAGCTCATGATAATTTGAAGATCACTTTTCAACAAGATGGAAACAAATTTACCCTCAAAGAATCAAGCAACTTCCGTACCATAGATGTTGAATTCACTCTGGGAGTCAATTTTGAGTACAGTTTGGCAGATGGGACTGAACTTACTGTAAGATACTTCCTATATTATTGTAATTTATTATATATGTCAATAACTTTATGAAGTACAGTTTCAAGATGAATAGTTTGTTTTCCTAAGTTTTAATTTAAATTTTAAAGTGTGCCTGTTCAGTAATGCTTGCAGCTTATATACAAAAACACGAGGTATTTGTCTTGGTTTTGGCTGGAATAGAGTTAATTTTCTTCCTATAGCCAGCTGGGTTTAAACCATGACGATAGTCTTAATGATTCAACACTGTACCATGAAACTCAGGGTTCCACAGAGGGTCCAAAACTCAGAGTATGTAGCAATTTTCCTACCATGAAATCCAGGCAAATGCAATTTTACTATTTGCAATACTAAAGTCCATGACCTAGAGGGCAGAGTCGGTATGTATATGAAATTTGTCTCTGCTGATGCGATTAATTACAATAAGGAGTGCTGAGCACTAAAAACATTTTCTTGACTGCTATGCAATTAACTGGTGGTTTTATCAAAATTTCATTCTTACAACCTTTCTCTCAATGTCCAAAAAGGCATTATTACACTGTTTTAATCTCTTCTCACTTTTAAGCGTTCCTGCAGTTTTAAAATCAAATCAGTGTCATATCTACTGCAAAATATTTAGAATCATAGAATCATAGATTAGTTAGGGT